AAGCTGTGTTTAGTCGTATTGATATGGAAGCATCCTCAGGTAGTGTAGATTCAAGATTGTTCAAATGATGACTCCTGGGATAGGGAGGAGCCACAGTGGGGGATTAAATTTTACAAAGGAATATATGGAAAATTTTATTTTAAATTATCTCAGGTACAACAAAGCCATTTGTTATATTGATATGGAAGCATCATCAGATAGTTTAAAATTCAACCCCCACCCCCGTAATCTTTTCAATACTGAACTGATTTGTGCTTTTGCCTAGCCAATGTGCTCAGGTGAGCGATGTGGCCCATGGGCCTCTTGTTTTTGGATTTCTCAAAGCAGTACAGATCAATAGAAATCAGACAGCTGATAACAAATGATAACTAGTCTATTATCATATACACTGAATAAATGACTGTACCCTTAAATATGAAAATAAAATAATGCAGAATGGTTTGAATTCTCTGTTTATTTACTGAGATTATTGTTTCTATACTTAATAAGGCTGCCAGTCGAGAACTGAAGGATGAGTATGAAGTCATTATCCCCCAGAGTAAACCCCTGTCTCCTGGTGAAATACTGGGCTGTACATCTCCAAAACTCAAACCTGGAACAGAGGCTATCATGTAAGTATCAGAATCTGACCACAATGAAATTACTCTGAAAAAGTTATTCAATGACCTTGTTATGACAAATATTTGACAAAGTTATCTCACAGAACATATGTTCCCCATTTGAGATGGATACTAGATGTGACTAGGATGAGAAGAATGGGGGGGTGTTAATGTAGAAAAGGAAAACATGAGACAATGATTGATATAATTAAATTCACTCACGTAAAGTAAAATATGGTCAAAGCAAATCATCAGAGACAAATAAAATTGCTTCATAAGATCCATAATTTGTTATATCCATTTAATGCCCATGTGCTGTCTATTTTATTACAGATATCTTGGAGATGGCAGATTTCATCTTGAGTCAATCATGATAAGTAATCCCACTGTGCAAGCTTATAGGTAAGATTAGGTACCAATAATAAGTAAAAATTACTAGGCTGAATGTAGAAATTATTTAAAGCACATACTCTTTTAGAAACTTTTGTAGATTTTATTTTGCTCTCATATTTCATACTCAGATTTATGGTGATATCTTTAAGGCCAAACAGTGAAAACAAGACAACAAAATCTATTTATCTGTTTTTCATAGGTATGACCCATACAGTAAAGTCTTTTCCAAAGAATACTATGATTTTGACAAGATGCATTCCATAAGAAGGAATGCCATAGCAACAGCTGCCCAAGGTCAGAAATACGGAGTGGTGCTAGGAACTCTGGGAAGACAAGGGTCAACTAAGGTTTTACAGGTACTTCATCCTAATTTCACCAGCTTATGTGTGAATTAAAGTATATAAAATATATACATGCATAATTGCATATACATGCAATAAAGTATCCATAACTTAAAATCATTCATCAATACACAAATTATCCTTTTAATAGACACATATGTCACCAAGCGTATTTTAATTCATTTATTAGTATTCATTTGAACTTATTCAACTGAATTTTACAGGAATTGCTGGAGAAAATAAATGAGTGTGGTAAAAGTAGTACATTGGTACTATTGTCAGAAATTTTCCCAGACAAGCTAAAGTTATATCCAGATATTGATGCGTAAGTTAATCAGTTAATAAAGATCAACTAGGCTTTGAAATTTTTTATTTGTACAATATAAGGTAGAAATTTATGACATCTATTTTACTTATTGGTATGTTGACATACTTTGTGAACATGATTTGCTAAATATTTTGTTTTCCTAGGTTATTTGACATTGTTTATTTTTAGATGGGTACAGATTGCTTGCCCAAGGTTATCAATAGACTGGGGCATGGCTTTTGAAAAACCGTTGTTATCTCCTTATGAGGTAAGGAAATTTTCATGCAATTTTGGGGACATCTTGAGGTTTTTATGTAAATGTTTTACACAAATCCTTTTTCAAGTGAGGAGACTTTGATTAAGGTAACATAAAACTGATCATTTGACAAATGCTGTCTAATCATTAAACTTATACATATACTAGTATATATTTAGAATAATTTTATATTGATTAATTGATTAATTTATGCTCAAAATGCTGTATCATAGTGAATGACAATGTTACTCGCCCGTATAAAGACAGGTCGTATTATGGCATTCATCCATCTGTATGTCCCTCTATTATCTTTTTCGTGTCTAGGTCATAACTTAAATACTATGAGACCTAGAATAATCAAACTTTGTCAGCTTGTACATCTTGGGGAGAAGGTGTGTTGTACATTAAAACTAGGTCACTATGACCTATAATGGAGATGATATGGCCAAATATTTCAAAACCCTGTCTGGATCATATCTAGAACATTACTAGACCTAGGATCATTAAATTTGGTCAGTTAATGTATTATGTAGAAAATGTGTCACACTCAACATTAATTAAGGTCAATGCCACTTTAAAAATATATTTTATTCAAAAAGTATGCTATAAGGGAGATAATCCCTACAGGTGCACATTGCAGTAACCTTATTCATAAATTTTACATCAAGAAAATACACATTTTGTTCATGATGTACTATACAGCTATATAAAATGAATATATTTCTTTTGTTTCTCACAATAACAAGAGAAATTCCACTTGTCCCATGGAAGTAAGCCATGGTGTTTCACATTTTGATAAGAGTCTGTCTATTTCAATTTTTCACCGGTATATCTCAACAAACAAATCGCAGAGAGCCATGTCTTATGAAGATGAGAGTTTGTTGCAATTAAGTTTTTATAATCTGATAATAATAATTATACAAATATTATTTTGTATTTTGATGTTTCAGGCTGTTGCATTGTTCATCATTCATAAAAATTGCAATGAACAAAGCTGCAGATTGGGCATTTATGTAACTTAACACAGCCAGTTGAGAAATATAAAGTGTACTATTTGTTCTTATTAATAACTACAGTGTAGGAGATGCACATCAAACTTTAGGAATAGAAGAAAAATCAATGTACAATTGTACCAAGGTTAACTTTTTTTTCTTCCATGCACACTCACTGTTTATTATTTTAAAAAAATTTGACTGGTGAATCATGGCGGTGCACTTAATTTTTTTTTTTTTTTTGATACAATAACATTGCGTTTTATCAATACATGTACATGTATATCCCATATTTCTTTTTTGTGTGAAGGCAGTGTTCAGGCAAATAAAATGTGATTCTCAAGAAAATGGAATTAGTTTTCAGAAATATTTACCAGGTAAAAGAGATATTTACTTAAATATGCACAGGATTATTGGTTTTTCTTTGCAGATGTCAGTTGCCCTGAATATTGCCCAGTGGCAAGATGTGTATCCTATGGACTTTTATGCAAATGACAGTTTAGGCCCATGGACTGTGAATAACATTAAACACCAGCCCCCAAGAAAGAAACCACAGAGAAAGACTGTTCCTATCAAAGCTGAGCCACTGACCGGTGGTTCTTGTTCAAATACTTGTGCATCATGTTCATGTTCACAAAAATCAAATATGAATAGTATAGAATTAAAGGATAAAACTTAAACGTTATTTGTTATTTTATCTATGATTCAGCATGTGTCGTTTGATATTGGCTAAAAACCTGCCAAATATCTCATTGCCATCTTTTAAAGTCACAAAAAATGTTATGCCCCGTTATAAGAAAAACAGCAATTTTAAATTAAAAAAGTTTCAGATGTCAGGAGTGCAACAAAATAAGGATAAGTTAGATCACTTCAAAATCAGTACTTTTTGAAAGAAAATTTGTATATCAAAATTCCTCCCTTTTTTTGGCTTAGATTTGAAGAATTGACTAAATGGACAACAAACAATCATATTGAGGGTATTTATTGTATCATATTTCTTTCATATTAAAACTTTTGAAACCAGAAGTGAGACAATTTATGTAAAATAATAAAAAAAAGCCAAAAAAAATTTCACATAGAAGAAATTTGATCAAGATTTAAATCTGATCATTTATATCCTTAACACAAGTCTAAGGATAAAAAACTATGATTTCTTTTGATTATGTATTTCAAGATATAGTAAAATTTTCTTTTTTTTTCAAATGAAGCTCTAGTAAAAAAAATTCTGAAATTCTTTTCTTATGCATTTGTCTATTCCATTGTCACTTTAGAAATTTTATTATAACTAGTAAGAATGTATTTACATGATACTATGGTTGAAAAATGTGTGATAGCGAGTTTTATTTTTCAAAAAAATTTCAAAATTTGCTGGTCATTATTTTTTAATTCACCCTGAAACAACTTAACCAATAATGCTTTATATTGTAGGATTGAATCTTTGTAATCAAACACTGCAATTACCGTAACCAAAAATATAATTCTAGAAATATTCTTTTAAATTTTGCATTTTCCTGTTTCTCTGAAGAAATTGAAGAATTCATTCAACAAGTTCATATTTGTTTGAACATAAATCTTAAGAAAATAATACACTGCGAAATTAACAGAAAATTAAATAGTTAACACATAACTGGAAAAGCAAAATGGATGGATCTGCAACATTTTGTCTCTGTACATGGAAGGAAGGTCCCCAACTTGTAACGCCTCCCTCCCCCCCCCCCCCCCCCCCCACCACACACACACACTTTTACATGTATATTCCTGCTCAGTTTCCAAATGCTGTCTTTTCTAGATCTGCATTGCAATAATCTTTCTTCATATGAATTGCACCCAAAGGTTTTAATTTGATCTATTTAATTCAGAGGCTTGGATCAAAATGATTATTTGGTACCACTTGTCTAAATTGAGGAATTTAACCTGGTGATGATTTTGAAATCACAAAACCAAGACATTGATATTTCTATGTACAAAATTTAATGAGGTGATGAAGACTGTGAATTCAGCAACATTATGGGTTTGCCTTCATTATGAGATTTTGTAATGAAACTGGTATCCAGTTCAGATTTTCGAACACAAATATCACATTTCTGTCCAAGTAGATCTGAACTTTTCCAAAACGATACACTTGTTTAGCTTCTTGGGTTTTTCCAGCCACAGGCATGAATAAAAGACCATTTTCTTCAGCCTGTAAAAAATAATAATCAACGAATAAAAATACAGATTTGAATGTACTTTTACATTACAATTAAGCAGCAGCATCAAACTACAGGTACTGTGAGTGAGCTCACAAAATAATACATGTACCCCCTATTACAATTTTCTAAAAGTGTCCATACCAATTTTGAAAATGTGACCTTGTACTTGCCAAAATTTGTGACCTTGTTAAAAAATTGACACATCCTCTAGTCATAAGTAATCTTTGAGTGAAATATTACAACCAATGTTTCTCCATTAGTAAATTATAGACCTGTGATGAATTTTACTATTTTTCATTGGAAGCTCATACTTGGTACGAAGCTTGTTTTTGACCTGAGGGTGTGTCATAACTTTGACCCAGGCTCATTATGGCAAGTTCAAGGTCACTGATATAAAACGTGTAAATTCATGATAGGTCTATGATTTTCTAATGGAAAAACATTGGATGTCCATATTTCACTAAAACATTACTTATGACCAGAGAACGTGTCATTATTTTAAACCAAGGACTGTTTGGCAAGTTCAAGGTCACATTTACAAAATGGGAATGGACACTTTTAAAAAATTGTAGCAGGTGGTATTTTTTGTGAGCTCACTCACAGTATCTCTAGTTAATATACAGTACATGTATTTCTAGTATTCCGTGTATTGTATTTGAGATACGGAAGTTTAACTTTAGCAGTGTAATAATAAAGATATTGCACTTATGATTAGTAATAATTTAAAGGCAACAGAACACATAGGTATCAACTTACTGCTTTCTCAACAATGTCTTTAAAGGTTGGCTGATAGTTAGAACCCACTGTAACACTCCGGGTATACTGAAATCATGAAAAAATGGATTTTAATAAAGAGGTCAGGAGTTTTAAGAATTAAAGTCAAACAAGCCAATTCAGAGAATTTGTGTCCCCCGCTTAAGGATAAAAGAAAAGGATGGAAGAACTGAAAAAATATGCAGATGGAGAAAGAAATAAAAGGTCAATCTTGACCTTTCAGCTTTTGGCCTTAAAATCAATAGGGTTTTTTTTTAAGGCTAAAGATAGTTATGACTTTAAGTTTCATTACAAAAGTTTGCACAGAGCTAAAGATATCAACTGAAAACTATGTTTGCAATATATAAATTTCTGATTTTGGTCTTTGACCTCAAAATCAATAGGAGTCTTTTTATGTCATATTGATTGAAGGTATAAAATTTTATTGCAAAACCTCAGAGAAAAATAGAGTTATCACCAGGAAACCATTTTATGCATGATATGAATTTTTCATCTTGACCTTTTCACCTAAAAAATTGAGAGGGATCTTCTTGAAGTCATTGGGAGTTATGATAGAAAATTTCACAGAAAAAGCTCAAAGAAAACTAAAGATATCATCCAGAAACCTTTTTTCTGACCTTGACCTCTTGACCTAAAAATAAAAGGGGGTCTTTTATTAAGTCACTAGGAGTTGTGATATACATGTATACCTTCTTTGAAAAAGCTTAAAGAAAACTAAAGTTATCATTTGGAAATTGTTCTTTGCAGTGTATGAATTTCACCTTGACCTTTGACCTTTTGACATCAAAATCAATAAGGGTCTCTCCTTAAGTCATAGGGAGTTAATGATGTAAAATTTCATTGCAAAAGTTCGAAGGTTTTTTGAAATATTGTCCAGAAACAAAAGTGTTCCTCACAGACAGAATGTATGAATTTCTCACCTTGACCTTTCACCTCAAAATCAATAGGAGTCTTTTTCAGACCATAGGAAGTTGCGATATAAAATTTTATTGCAAAAGCTCACAGGCTTTTTGAGATATTGTCTGGAAATGAAGTGTTACACACAGACAGAATGATAGATGGATGGACGGACAGACCCAAATTAATATCCCCCACTTTAAGTGAAGGCAGTGGACTGTAATTCCCTACAAAGACAACCAGACTGAAAAGACTGACAATATTTTGGAAAAACTCACAGCTGGTTCTGGTCCAGTTGTCTGTCGGGGTGGGGATCGAGATGTCGAGGGGAGGGGGGCATCTGCCATCTGCCTACGCTCCATGCTAGCAAAATAGGCCATGTTTTCCTTGACACCTGGCTGTATGTGACTTGAAACAGCTCGGTTCATAATTTCCAAAGCTTTGCTGAAGTTATCTATGAATACAAATACTACAGAATTGCTCTCTAAAACAGAAAAGATCATTTACCTTTTTATCATGAATTATTACCAATAATACTGGTATGTGCTAATGCCAGTAATGAAGTTTCATTTTTTGAAAGGAAATTATTCCCTTAATCTCATGAAACACGTCGAGTTTGATGAAAGCTTTTACAGTTTAGAACTTAACTATTATAACTCAGTGTGCTGTACCTCTGACAGAAGGCTGAGATAGATATTCCTCTGAGAACAGTGACTTCCAGCCCAGATACCACTTGGTGATCTCGTCATAGTTTGGCATGTTACTGAGCCAAGTACACAGTACAGTCCTCCACTTAGGAAAGAAAGTCTTCTCCAGCATGTCCACCATGTACTTAGCAGGAATAATGTCTGACCACGACATAACCCAGTGCCAGGGGTCTGTTATAGAAATATTGTGATAACATTATTTTCTTTAAAAAAAAAACTTTAAAATCTATACTGCTTTTAATAACTACATGTAGTTTTTTTTCTGAAAATGTGAAATAATCTGCAGCTTCAGCTATATGCATTTATATAAAAGCAGAATTATAGGATAAAAAACACTTATAACTAACCTAAAATCTGTTGGTGTGGATTAATAACAAACTCTTGCATACACATGGCAAGCTTTGGGAGAATATTCTTCACCAGAAAAGCCTCTAAATGTCCAGGTTTAAACACCTTGACCCAGGGTTGGAGTATAACTTTAGCGGAGGCATCAGAGGGATGCCAGTTTATGAGAGCATTGGCTATCTTATGTCTTATAGGAGCATACAATGGCTCTAATTTGTCTTTCATCAAAGGCAGCCAAGGATGAAGCCATGCATGAATGGGCATTGTGTCGGTCAAAGGATTCCAATTTTCCACTTCCTGTAGTAACCTCGGCAACACCAACTGATCCTGAATGTTTTCCATGATCCAAGGAGGGAGAACTGGCAGCCATGTTTCCAGAACTTCTATGAGAGGATTGCAAGCCCTTACATTCCATTTTCTACAAAGAATTCACACAAAAACTGAATAAAGGACACTGTGAAGTACATGTGAAAATCAATCTTACTAAAGTTAAACTTCACCCAACTCACAATATGGTGGTTCTGAGATACGGGAGCCAAACATCCCATAGGAGCCTCTGGAAAACATCCATATCACTGAAGTTGCCAGCATACTGATTATTGTAATCCTCTAGCAGGTCCTTCCACTGTTGTATAGTGTTCAACCCAAATGCGGGGTCCTTTAAAGGGTCCCATGTTGAGAAATATTTCCTCATCTACAAGAAATTGAAGAATTTCATTTTATTTACTGACCTTAAACATAAAATTAACATAATTCCAGATCCCT